ATTTTCTGCACTAGACCGCCGGATTAAGTTTTAATCAGGCGCTCGCAAATCGCTTGGCAGTCCGTTAAGGCATAATTACATTACTGTACAAATGTTTACACGTGCACAATCTCCCTACAGTCTCCACTCGAAATACTTACTTAGCACCGGCTTTGTACTTCATGCTTTGCAGCTGTACTAAGTTTCACTTCGAATTAACTAGGGATTACGTTGTAAACAAACTCTTCATTAAAGAGCTCTTTTTGCACTTCAAAGAATTTTTTAAGATTTATTTTGTTTTTACAAAGTGTAAAGGCTCCGAGTTAAAAGTATGACGAGTGAAAAATGCATAAAATTTTAAGTGGTTTTTGTATGAGAAAAGAAATGAGAGTTTCATTATTCCTGGGGATATTGTTAAAAGTTTTGATTCACTCCAGTGGGTCTTTATTAGTGCGGCGAGGAAAATTCAAATGATGTTATAAATTTTAAAGTGCTCATTTTAAAAGTACGTAATACGGTAACAGTAAACGTGTCCTAATGTCAGTCAGGCAACTAACATTATTCTTTTCCCCTAATAATTTGAAACCTTCAATAGCAACGCATCATACATACATAGTAATTACGTAGAATCAATAAATAATAGGTATTTATTAAAAAAGAAACGCTGTTCCATTTACGTTTGGAGTATCTCTACCTTGTGTTTATTTGTTTTGACGATCGCTTCTGGCCTACGGATTATCCGACACAATGCGGACACTGTGCTTAGCTGTGCATGTGTGTGTGTGAAAGTGCGGGTTCAGTTGCTTGTAATAAAACGTATATACTTAGTGAAGTATTCTTCGACTGAATTATTTTCACCATTAAACAATTTCCAACAACATATTTTATGATTTCAGTGGACACTTCTTTCGAAAATCAATTAAAAACATTATAATATAATAAATAAATTTTCACAAATTATTAAGTTCATCAACCGTAATTGAGTCAATAATCTCAGCTGTGACCATGGGACCTGCAAAGAGCCCAACATTTTGGCTTGTTTAAATAAAACAAATATCCGCGATTTAGATTCGACATAAAAAAAAAAATTAGTCACAAATTACTTCAGTACAGTACTTGTACACTCAACTAAATAATAAATGGGTATACATAGTTATGTACACATTGGAATGTTTGCTAAAGTTACACTCAAATCTTATGTGTGCGAGAAACCGGACCTGGACCTCATTTTCATTGCAGAAAGATCACGTAGATAGAATGTCCACAAGAGGTAAGCACACATTACGTACACACGTAACGCATGCGGGTTTATCCGGCGGCGGGTGCGGCGTGGGTGCGGGTATCGGAAAAATTAGCATGTCAATAAGGGTGACCTCACACGCGCCGCGCATGCCGATAGCGGAAATTAACTAATGGAATTTAGATGTACGATTGTTATAGGTGCAAGACCTACAGGGTACAGGTGACCCAAGATATGTAACCGGTTGCACGGCTTTCTAGCGATTTAATTGAAATGAACTGAAAGAACTACAGCTCAGAATATAGGATATTTGAATTTTTCACGTAGTGTTGCCATAAGTTTTCAATTACTGTGATTGTTACTCAGGAAGTATTTTAATTAGTCGTTATTAATAAAAAACGTATGAAAAATAGTGCTTCTAGTTGTACATTGAGGCGTACGTTAGCATACGTTAATTAAATGTTGGCTATGACTGCAAAAACATGGCAGTGCAGTGGACGGTGTAGTAAGAAGAGAAACAGTGTGCTGTGTGTGAAGAGAGCATTGTGCCCTGAAAAATGTTGTAGGATAGAAAACGGAACACGGAAAGGTTGAATGTCAGCAGCTTAACGACACAAATTTATAGAGCGAACCTGGGGAAAGGGCGACCGCGGTGTATAAATCTCAACTAAACTGATGATATCCCTAAAAAAGCACCAAGAATAAACTGATACGAGAAGAAGAAGGTATGCCAGAAGCATGGCGGGTGGAAGTTAATAGCATAGTATAATAAGACAAGTATGGCAACTCCATACAAAAGTAGCAGCGCGGCATGTCGTGTACAGACGCACACATCCGCGTTATCTCGCGGTGCACTCACGTTGCATAGAGCGAGTCGTCACATAGAATTTGAGCGACCACTCGTTGTTTAAAGAAGACATCAAATAGTAGACATGTTTATTGTTGGATTTGTGGTAGTTAGATCAATTGTGCCGCATATTAAGAATT